TATTGGTAATGGTAATTTTGTTGCTGATAAATCAGTCGACCTAACTATCCAGTCTCGTTTTGGAAATTATACCACATCGTTCGTTGCAGTTGTCGTACCTACCATCACCGATTACCAACCCATCACAACCCCTCCAATTAATAAGTCGATAATTCCGCCGAATATAAAACTAGCCGACCCGAATTTTGATAGCCATGGTCGAATCGACATACTAATAGGAGCTGGCATATTTTTTGATTTATTGTCTGTCGGACAAATTCGATTAAGCGACAATTCTCCCATATTCCAAAAAACTGTATTGGGTTGGGTCGCATCAGGAGGAATTTCTAACCCGTCAAGGGCATGCTCTTTGACTGCAGCATGTAAATGTGTCGATAGTGACAATTTAACTAAGGTCATGCAGAGCTTCTGGCAGATAGAAAATAATTTCGTGGACATCAAACCAAATATAGAGGATGATATTTGTGAACAACATTTTAAGAAAAATACCATTCGTCTTGATTCGGGTGAATATTCCGTACGACTGCCCAAAAAGGAAAATTGCCGTGATCTCGGGAGCTCATATGATCAAGCCCTTCGACGCTTTTTGGTTCTTGAAAAGAAGCTTAGCAAACAAGTTGAGTTAAAACAAATGCACGTGCAGTTTATGAAAGAGTACTCAACTTTAAATCATATGTCGCCAGTCCCATCTCTGCCAAATAACACTCCAACATTCTTTTTACCTCATCATTGCATACGTAAAGAAGACAGCACAACAACAAAGCTGCGTGTTGTGTTTGACGGTTCGGCAAAAACAACATCAGGTTTATCATTGAATGATACACTCTACGCTGGCCCAACAATTCAACCAAAACTTTTTGAGACTTTACTTCGGTTTCGATTTTTTAAAGTCGCTCTAAGTGGTGATATTTGCAAGATGTACCGTTGTGTACGAGTGTCTAATCCCGACAATTACCTCCAATGTGTGCTCTGGAGAAATGATCCATCTGAAGATATAAAAGTGTACAAATTGGACACAGTTACTTATGGCACTAAACCAGCAGCGTTCCTGGCAATTAGATCAATGCATCAACTTTCGCATGATGAAGAAACTTCATACCCATTGGGAGCTAAAATTGTAAGGCGCGATTTTTACGTTGATGATCTAATTACTGGAGGTAACACTATTGAAGAAGTTCTGGATATTAGACAACAAGTCAGTGATTTGTTGAAAAGGGGTAATTTTGAAATACGGAAATGGTGCTCAAATTATTTGGATGTATTGACGGGAGTGCCACTAGCCGATTGTGAGCAGTTTTTAAAATTTCATGATGGTACCGATATCACCAAAACCTTAGGCTTAATGTGGGATCCAAAAGCTGATAATTTAATTTTTACGTTCAAGCCTACTCAGGAATCATGCACTGTAACCAAACGAACGGTGTTATCGTGTATCGCAAGGCTTTATGACCCATTGGGTTTAATAGGTCCGATAATATCAAAAGCAAAGGTTATAATGCAATGCTTATGGCAGAGGAATCTACAATGGGATGAAAGTTTGCCACAAGATTTACACACTGTATGGTCAAGATTTGTTTCACAATTTTCAAAACTGCATAAATTTGTATTTCCTCGTTTCGTTTCGGTATCAAATTCCACTATACAAATTCATGCATTTTGCGATGCTAGCCTGTCTGCTTACGGTGCATGCGTGTATGCTCGATCAGAATACAATGGCGAAGTTACCACTCATCTGCTATGTTCGAAATCTAGAGTGGCACCATTGAAGGCGTTGACTGTGCCAAAGTTAGAATTGTCTGCTGCGTTGCTGCTGGCAGAGTTATTGGAAAGTGTCTCAAAGGTCTTGTCGAACGATATGGAATATCATTGCTGGTCGGATTCAATGGTGGTTCTGTCGTGGATTCGTCAACATCCATCGAAATTTAATATTTTCGTCTCGAATCGGGTAAGTCGCATCCAGAGCCTTACGAGTAAAATGGTCTGGCATTACGTACCAACATCTTTGAATCCATGTGATATCTTGTCCAGAGGATCTAATCCTCTGGAACTATTGAATTGCAGTCTATGGAAAAACGGTCCAGATTTTTTATTAAAAAACTCAACGAATTGGCCTCAACATGTAGAGTATCTTACTGAGTTACCAGAGCAACGACGACAAGTCCTGACGGCAGTGAAGATTGAAGATATTTCATTATCGTGTAAATATTACAATTCATTTGCAAAACTTCAACGAATATTTGGCTACATGCAAAGATTTATTAAACTAAAATCTTCTCGTAAAGAAAATGAAACTCCAAAATCTTTATCCCTTGATGACATTAAAAAGGGTACATATATGTTAATAAGGAGTATTCAACGAATTTATTTTGAAAGCGAATACAAACGTTTATGTACTGGTTCGAATATCGAGTCATCAAGTAAGTTGCATTCGTTAAACCCAATAATGGATTCATTTGGTTTAATTCGAGTGGGTGGTCGTCTTCATTATGCAAATATGGATTACGAAGGAAAGCATCCAATTATTTTGCCAAAATACCATCCGGTCACAAAGTCGTTAATTATGCATTTTCATGAAAAATTGTTACACGCTGGACCACAGTGCCTGCTCGCAAATATTCGACAACAATATTGGCCAATTGGCGGACTTAAATCGATTAGCAGCACTATTAGGAAATGCATTCGATGTTTTCATCTGAAGCCCAAAATAGCGCGTCATGTGATGGGAAATTTACCGAAGGATAGAGTGCGTGCCAACAGAGCCTTTTTCACCACCGGCATCGATTTTTGTGGACCATTTTATTACAAAACGGACGTAAGGAATAGGCCTCCCGTAAAGTGCTACATATGCGTTTTTGTTTGTTTTTCAACAAAGGCATGTCACATGGAATTAGTGCAAGATTTATCAACACCTTCGTTTTTGGCTGCTCTAAAGCGTTTTATATGTATACGTGGAAAACCCCAAACCATTTGGTCAGATAACGCGACCAATTTCGTTGGCGCTAAAAATGAGTTATCTGAATTGAAACACATTTTCTTCAATCAAGACAACATGGACGCAATTTTTAAGCAATGTTTGGATGATGGAATAGATTGGAAATTCATTCCCCAAGATCCCCACACTTTGGGGGACTCTGGGAGGCTGCAGTGAAGGCAGCTAAATATCATTTCTATCGAGTAGCTGGTCTTTCATTGTTGTCCTTTGAAGAGCTGAGAACTTTAGTTTGCCAAATTGCTGCCATTTTAAATTCTCGTCCGCTGTGCCCCTTAACTGAAAATCCAGATGATCTCGAAATATTGACTCCGGGTCATTTTTTCGTTGGCGCGCCATTGGTAGCTATTATGGAACCTGATGTTACCGAGCTGAATATAAATACTTTAAATAGATGGCAGCGAGTATGCTATATGCAACAGGTATTTTGGAAGAAATGGTGTTCTTCGTATCTTTTTCAGTTACAGGAGCGCAACAAATGGCGAACGCATTCAGCGAGTGTGAAAGAAGGTCAAATGGTTTTGCTAAAAGATGAAAATTTGCCACCTCAGAAATGGCAGCTAGGTCGTGTTCTGGAAACAATACGCGGAAAGGATGATGTGGTTCGTGTTGCTATCATCAAAACCAGTAGTGGAACATGTCGACGAGCTGTAACTAAGCTAGCTGTATTGCCTATTGAAGATGATTCTGTTGAAAGTTTAAAACTTCCAACGGGGGGAGGATGTACGGTGAATAAGCAGTCGGTGTATGCCAACACAAAATAATGTCCGCTGCATCAATTCCATTCGTTTCAAAAGCAAGCAATGTAAATGAGTGCAATTGTAACACAACATATATATGCGAACATTCATTTATAGAAATCACTCAATATATAAACATTAACTGTATCAATGTAATCATTTTTGTTGTTGGTTATCGCTGTTGCTTTCTTGCTATTGATTTTTGGTCGCCATCGATATATTCTTTTGTAACTACAAATTTTTGTCTTTGAAATAAACTTGAACGGAGAAGTACAGTCGATTTTGTTTTATTTGATAATTTTGGAAAGAGGCTTGCAAAAAAGCTTGCAAGCTGGAACAGAGGATGTATACACGTTAACACGGTGAAAATGTGCCTCAATGTGGTTCTAGACCCCATGTTTCTTTGGACCAAATCCCTTTCAGAAAATTTTGATTTCATCCGAACTTTGCCCATCTTATTTTTTCTCCAAACTTAGTTCAAATTCGAAGATGGGGAAAATCGGTCCACTCCTTCTGGAACCTCCACACAGAGACTAGGTCTAAATGCGGCTATAGTTCATTATCGAACCTTACGTTCTAATTTTTTATCTCGCTATCCTCCGCAGGTGAAATGATTACAACAGAGTCTTAGAACCAAACTCAAAAAGCGGAACAAATCGGATAACTATTTTAATATACAAAAGGGGGTTATATGGGGACTATCCCAAAAAGGGGGCGAATATTAAAATTTTTTGGTAGGGAGATTTGTTACCACATACGACTACAAAATACCAAATTGCAGCAAATTCACATGAAAAACGCGTTCAAGAACCCCCAAATACCGAAAATTGGGGGTACCCTTATTTGGGGGCTATCAGAAAAAAATGGACCTATACTCATAATTTTTTGTGGAGAGATTTGTTACGCAATAAGAACTCAAAGTACCAAATTTCAGCGGATTCGGTTGAAAAACGCGCTCAAGAACCCCAAAATACCGAAAATTTGGGGTACCCTTATATGAGGGCTACCCGAAAAAATGGACCTATATATATAATTTTTTGTGGAGAGATTTGACACACAATAAGAACTCAAAGTACTGCATTGCAGCCAATTCGGTGAAAAAATGCAGTCAAAACCCCCCCAAAACTGAAAATTGGGAGGTACGTTATATGGGGGCTACCAGAAAAAGTGGACCTAAAGTTATAATTTTTAGTTGAGAAATTTGGTATCCAAAAAGAGCCCATTTTACCAAATTTCAGCGAATTTGGTTGAAACGCGCTCAAGAACCCCAAAATACTGAAAATTTGGGGGTACCCTTATATGGGAGGTATGCCTAAACGTGGACCGATATAGCCCATCTTCGAACTTGACCTGCCTGCAGACAAAAGACCACTCTATGCAAAATGTTGGCGTTCTATCTCAATTCGTTTAGACGCTAGAGTGATTACAACAGACAGACATGCTTAGATCGTCATAGAATTTTATGCTGATCAAGAATATATATAATTAATAGGGTCGGATGATTATTTCGATGCGTCACAAACGGAAAAACAATACTAATATACCATCCATACTATGGTGGAGGGTATAAAAATACAAATACCAGAAAGTGCTACAGCAAATAAATACGTTAAAATGGACAACAACAACAGTGAGTGACATTCCAGTTTAAAAACAACAAAAGTCGCCAAGCAAAACAAAATAAGAAGAGGCACACAAGTGGAAGATCTAGCACCAACACACAGGGTAACCACACACATTTCCAGTACTAAGAAGAGAGGATCAAAGTGAGTACGAAATGAAATTTGTTATTTGGGCAAATTCAGGCATGCAGGTTCTGAAACTATTTGCACCGACCTATAATGTCTCTGGTTGATTGATGATATATTGAGACTTATATTTTTTCTATTAATGTAATGTATAATGGAATGTATTATTTTAAAATCATTACAAGATTACATCTACATTATCTGTAGAGTCGTATCTACAAAAACAAAAAAAAAACTTATAAATAACATAAAAACTAATATGAACTTTAACTAAAATAAAAAAAAACGTGCCGGGAGTAGAACATTTAAAAAATTTGGGTTATCTATATCGCTGAAAGATAATTTGTATTTGTCCAAGCATACTCAAGTTCAAAATTTAAAATGTCTTGAAGCATGTTACCATCGTAATCAGAAAGACTACACACAAACTTCTTCATTGAATTGAGGGCGTAAGTAGCTAACGGAGTAATGTCGCTCTCTCTCTATAAAGAAAATCATTAGAAAAACGCTTATTGGGCAGTTTAAAATTTCGACCTATGCACTTCCGATGCACATGCCGCTCAAATATTTCTAATTTTTTCATCATTTTAGGCGAAATGTTATTAAACAGTCGCGAAAAAGCGCCTTTAACACGGTTAGCCTTATATAAATTTGCAGCATGCCTGTTAAATTTTAGTAATTTATGAAAAATTACACCTATCCAGGCTATCCTTAAACTCAATTTTGTTAATATTTAAAAACAAGGACAATGTTTTACTTTCGGGTACATTTGCCCGAAGCATTACGAACGCATATATCATTATTTTTAGCCACATTAATTTTGATACCCCAATCAGAATAAAAATTTCTTACTTCATTAAGATGCGTTGAGACACGCTGTAGTGCATCCAATGGAGATTCATCATGTGCAAAGAGAAGAGAATCATCGGCATAAAGTATACCGTTTGATCCATTTACTTCATGAGGGAAATCGTAAAAGGAAATCTTATAGAGATGGGGAGATAAAACCGAGCCTTGAGAGGGTATTCCAAATCTGAACACAAAAACCTCTATCATAAAAGAAGTTCTTGAATAATTTAACCGTTGCAGGTTGAAACCCAATTGAAATCAATTTATACAACATACCAATATGGTAGGCTTTGTCGAAAGCTTTATCGATATCAAAATATTGGAATTTCCCTTTTTGAATTCAAACTAATACTGGGATATAAAAGAGTCTTGCAAACCTAAATTCATTTTTCCCTAATAATCATCTCAACGAGTTTTCCCAAATTAGAAAGTAAGGAAATGGGCCTTAAATTATTAATGTCATTGTTGTCAGTTTTTTTCCGAATAGTTATAATTTTAATTAAATTTTCTTCAAATCTTTTTGACAATCATATTTAATTTTTAATAATTTTTTTAAATGATTCTAAACTATGAATGTTGAGCATTGTCCTTTAACTTCGGAAGAGTGGATCTTGGTATGAAATCAATTGTTTAAGAGGTAAGTGATCCGAAAAAGTAGGCAAAGTATATGTTGAATAATTTTGATAAGCTAGTAAATTGCATAAAGTGGTCCAACTGAGACGAACCACCTGGATAGGAGAGATGTGAATCACAAATTCTAGACACATTCAACTTTTCGGTACCAAGCCAATTTGATAATACTTCGCCGTTATAGTTGTTAATTTCTTCCCCCTAAACAAAATTTTTAGCATTTAAATCATCTGCTACTACTAAGCCATCACAATTTTCTGCAAAATTTAAAATTGATGTTAAGCCAACACTCATACATCTGTGAACAAAATCAGCTTTATATTGATCTAGTAATATTTTCAGATTTTTCTACAAATGTTGACAAGATATCCAACATTGAATGTGATTAAGTTTAATCCTTTATTGAGAGTACTCATATTGAACATCCTTTACCAATTTCAAGTACTAGGCCTTTGATTGATCCTTTGACATATGTTTGTAATTAGCCATAAATTGTTTTATCCTCTCCTTCAGGGTTACCTCGGGACCGCATAACAGTTTTGCAACCTTAAAAAATTCCAGAACCAGGCTTATCTAGCACTACCAGGCTTAGAGCACTAGCAAAAGTCCTATTTGTAGTAACTAAGTTTGACGAATTCAACGCACTTGCCACATTTCTCATACTCGCAATATTCTGAGATTTTGTAATTTCAGCATTCTTCCTCCTACAAGAAACATATTCTTTATACGCACTACATTCTCTATAATTTGCCGTAAGTCCAAACTGTTTGCAGTTGACGCAAAAAACTTTATCATTTGAACCTAATTGACACTCACCAATTTCATATTTGACATTGATTTGACTTGGAAGATCCAACACAGAATTGATATGAAACTTGCAAAATCTTCATTCAATTGTTTCTGAGAATAAGACTTGCTTTCTTTGCATCTATTTGAACGATCCAAATGGCCAATTGACATCTTTTGGGGTTTTTTTTTTGGTTTCCGAATAGTATGTAACAGGAGGCCTCCCCCGCCTGAGGAACAGATGGTGGTCATTTGCAATTTTAGTTTATAATTTTTGAATTTTAGTTTATAATTTTTTAATTCTCTTCACAGAAAAAACACAACCGATACGTTTCATACGTCAGAATTCGAATCCGATTACCACCATGCGATACTTACTCTTTGAAGGATGCAGACGAGCAAATAAAAATACTGTTTAATTTACCAAATGTTACCACAGACTCTAGTTCGAGTATTGAAAAATTACAAAGAGCTGTTACTAGTTGCATACAGACTTTGGAAACATTAAAAATTTAAGTATCTGGATGGGATCCAATACTTATATACCTATGTTCCAGTAAACTTCCCAGATCATTTCTAAAAGATTTTGAAAATTCACTTGAAGATTGCAACAAATTACCATCATGGGAAGATTTTGACAAATTTTTGATTCACAAGTTTAAAACTTTGGAATAGTTGAAAATATTAAACCAAGTTTTTCAAAATATGGTCACGTCAAATCGGATCCAAACAAAAGGATGAAATATACCAACAGTTTCAAAATAATATTAACCATAACAGGGAATAGGAATAACCCAAATTCTCAGCAACCAAAAAAACTTACAAAAATCAAAATCTGCAAAGCAATCATTTTATTCGAAATTGTCCACAATTTCAAGAAAAAAAATGTGAATGACAGAATTCACGTTGTGAAAACGTCTCATTTATGCTATAATTGCTTATCTTCGACTCAAGGAGTCAAGGAATGTAATAGTCATTTTGGCTGTAGGAACTGCAGAAAAAGACATCACA